TTTAAGGGCTCCAGGGCCAGGAGGGGGGCAGACGAGTTTCCCTGGTGGTGCCCAGAGTGGCCACCAGGGAAAGCTGGGGAGGGCTAGCCTTCCACTAGTTCGAATTAAGTGGCTACACAGCTCTTAATTCGAATTACTTAATGCGAACTAGGCATTAGTCCTCGTAGAATGAGGTTTACCTAGTTCGAATTAAGCGCTCCGCTAGTTCGAATTAAGTTCGAACTAGCGGTTTGTATGTGTAGCGCCTATTAAAGTTAAGTCGAACTAACGTCTGTTAGTTCGAATTAACTCTGTAGTGTAAACATACCCAGACTTATTTTTTAGACCAGATTCTGACTCCTTTTTCTTACACTGAGTACAGGTTGTTTACAGGAAACTTCTATTGATTTCAGTGGGACAAATCACTCAGAACAAGGCTCTCAGTAAGTACTATTCATTTTTTATCAAAAATTGTACAAATGAACCCCTAATCAGGGCCATATTATGAAGTCTTTACTCCCACTAGTGAGTAGCTACGCACAAAGGTAGTTCTACTATTTTCAATGGAATTATTTCCATAAACTGTTTCAAGGGATTTGGGAACAACCTCAGGCCTGTGGAAAGCAGACAAACCACAAACAGAAATGAGGAGGGGAAGGAGAGGAACCTCCAGTATCTACTACATGTATACAGAGTACTCCCAGATGACAGATTAATAGAGCAGAATTAATGGTTGCCTTGGAGAAGACTGTGCATTCATCCCTGGCCACCAGCTGGAAAATGAGTACCACAACAGTGGCAGTTGGAGAATGGGGAGAGAGACTAAATCAGGGAGAAAAACTGATTGCCCCCATAACATAATGATGGGATTTGCCTATGCTTTGTTGCATAGAATATTTTCACTAGTACAAACAGAAAATTAAATATCGACATTCTTCTTACAATTCTCCTGCCCCCGCCCCCACACTCATTTATCAAGAAAAATAACACTGATTTGATAGAATTGTATGCTAAGCAAATTAGAAGTGAACTCAATTTTCACATTTTTTTGTAAAAATACAGCTTCAACCTTTCTCTGTATTGCAAGAGAACAGCAGATATTTAATTACTGCACCTCTACCCAGTGCCAAAGTTTACATTGGTTCACAAGAAGCAGAAACAGGCCAAATATTTATGAATTGTAATGCAAGAGCCCCCACCAGCACTGTCCCCAAATAAAGCATACACGAAAACAACCAAACCATATTTGACTGCCTTAAGAAAGAGCTTCTCTATTCTCATACTCCTCTCTTCCTCTTTGACCCCAAAAAGTAAGCTGAATTTCTCATCAAGGGGACTCTTGCATTACAATTCATAAATAATCTACCGGACTGCTCTTGCTTGGTGAATATACTGGCTGTTAAATGCTGTCCCATTTATTTGTCTGGATGTAGGGCAAAGAGGAAAAAAAGGTCTAGACGTAGCCCCAGTGTGTATTCTGCCCAACTTGTTTAAATTCTGTTTAACAAAATTTACCAGTATCTGTAAAACAAACCCAACTTTAAGCCCTTAAATGCTATTGGGCTGGGTGCCACCTGCAACTCCGAAATACAGAGATTTATTCTCTTTAAAATTAGATTCCAAAGAAAAACTTAAGCTGCAAGCTACAAAGAGAGGCTGACTAAGCAGAGTGATAATGGGATAGTCTTTTCTCCTCCAGATTGTTGGTTCAGCTCCAACTCATATTTATTGAAAACTGCTGTTATCTGTCTGCTAAGTGCCCTACTGAGCGTGCTCATCTGAGTTTACCTTTTAAACAGACATATGTGACGAGGTATAATGAGGTAACTGGCTACATGGACATGGGGAAGGTGGTGGATGTGCAATATATCTTGACTTTAGCAAAGCTTTTGATATGGTCTCCCACAGTATTTGTGGCAGCAAGTTGAGGAAGTATGGATTGGGTAAACGGACTGTAAGATGAACAGAAAGCTGGCTAGAGCTTACAGAAGAGAAGAATGAGGTGGGATTTGATAGCAGCCTTCAATTACCTAAAGGGGAATTCCAAAGAGGAAGGAGAGAGGCTGTTCTCAGCAGTGATAGATGGCAGAACAAGGAGCAAATGATCTTAAATTACTGTGGCGGAGGTCTCGGTTGGAAAAACTATTTCAATAGGAGGGTGGTGAAGCACTGAAATGGGTTACCCAGGGAGGTGGTGGAATCCCCATCCATAGAGGTTTTCAAGTCCCAGCTTCACAAAGCCCTGGCTGAGATGACTGAGCTGGGATTCATCCTGATAAGGTATCTTCCAACCCTACAATTCTATGATTCTAAGTGTCCTCATCACATCACCAGCACAGAAGTCGCAATCCTGCAAACACTCAAGTGCATGCTTAGATTTACATATATGAGCAACCACACTGATGTACTCATTGAGCAAAGGTATGCATATACCACAGTGTTGGCTGACTTATGGTCTAAATTAGCACTTCTTGGAAGACTCAGAAGAGACATCAGGCATTGCAGGGGCATGCAGACTAAACCACCCAGAAAAATCTAATTCAAGACACAGGCTATTAATAACATAAAAAAGATTGCACTTCCAGTGCTCATATATACATGTCCTGTGAATTGACAAAGGATTTTAGGGCCTGATTCTCCTCACTCACACACACACAGAATCCTAAAGTAAATTACCAGAGCCTTAGTGTAAATGTAGCCAAGCCAAATTGTACTCAGGACAATTAATGTGGCCTACTGAGTTTTCACACACACTAAGTTTACTAAGCAAACCCAGTAACTTTATATTTATTCAACAAGCAAAACATTTTATTTTATTTTTAAATTAAATATTTATAATAAATGAGGTTAGCTGATCATACAAATACATACCTGATTTTGCAGCTGCCCTGGATTTGGCAGGAGAGGTCACAGCACAGATTAAGTTACATAATGATGTTCCTCTGTTATTCATTTTCTGAATTTCAGGTGCTTTTAAAGTCCATTCCTCTTCTAATTTCTGAATAACCAAAACGTAATATTTTCAAGTTTGTTCATTACATTTTTAAAAAGAACAAAATAAATCTGAAATACTTAGCATGGAGAAAGGGATGTATAAGGCCTTTAGGCATGATACTGAGCTCTTAGCCTGTGTAATGCATCGACCCTCCCTGCCCCCCCAAATAAGTATTATTAGCACTGTCAGTGAGACTGACTGCATGCTCTACTATTCTGGCTGCTCTCTATATATTTTAGGATATGGAAGACTGCTAACTGTAGCAAAGAAAAAGGAAGAAAGTATATATAAGGCACCTTAATATCTAAACGAGGAGTAAGTGTGACCATGTAGAATCACAGAATACTAGAACTGGAAGGGACCTCGAGCGATCAAGCTAAATCCCCTACCATAATGGCAGAACCAAGGATGGTCTGTAAAATAGTAAAACCTGATGCCTGCCAATTAAAAGAAAATATTCCACCAAATCTTTATATATATTATAGAGCACAAGATATGAAACGAAGTGCAAATGTTTTTCTTTTTTTAACCCCAAATTCCATTAGCAATAGTATCCCTTCTTACACACAGTCTCTCACCCGAATATCTTCCAATGGTTTCTTTAAATGCTCTGTATTTAAAGATGGTTGCACAGCTGGAATCCTATCTGTTGTCTCTATCATCCATTTCTTTAAAGATTCTACAAGGAGCTTGAAAGTCTCCATTTGTTCCTGACAAGATGATACATCCTCTTCTCTAGACAATTAAAGACAGCAAAGAACTTGAGTGCAAAAAACCACTAATCATTCTGATTATATCAACAGAACTAAGTAATTACTGACCCAATCATTCCACTGTTGAAGACAATGAGTTTAATGATTGACTTCCATGAGTTATGGAAGAAGCCCATGAATTTACAGCTACCCTTTTAATTGTAAAATTTAGCAAGGCAGATAGATAACAGTCAAGCTAAATACAGGACGCGCTGCATGGGAGGGTGCAATGAGGTGTTATGTGACCAAAGAATCAAAGGCAGGAAAGCCAGTCAGCAGCCAGCGGGAATACTAGTGCGGAGGAGGGAGGGAAGAGTTGCTACCGGAAAGAGGGGTCCTGCCTCCCCACACTCATTGGCAAGAGCAGGGGAAGCAGAGCAAGGTGGCCCCATCTGCTTTGCTCTCCTGGTTGCACCACTCTGGAGGAATGGGGCGGGACTGCCCCTACACTCCCCAGCAAGAAACAGGGCGACTGCACCTGGGGAAGCAAAGCATTTGGGGCTCTGTTGCTCCACTTACCTTGCCACTGTCAGTGAGTGTGGGTGGATGGGGGAAACCCCTCCTGCTAGCACCAGCCCTACTAGTCCTCCAGCCCACACTGCTTCCCGCAGCTCCCATTGGCCCATCTGCAACCCAGACCTGTGAGGGGGGCTTCAGAGGCCGCTGTGGATGCCAGCGTGTGGGTCTGCAACAAGGACGGCCCCCTCTCCACTGAGGGTCAGGGTGAAGGCTGCCCCGAAAGTAGGGGAGCAGGTCAGAGGGGTCACTGATGGAGGGACTTTGGGCCTGGAAACAACAGACTCCGTTCTAGGGGACCCACACACTGGTTCTGGTGATATGTCCAGAAGGTCCAAAAGGGCCACTGTCCAGGAGTCTGCCACTGGGGTAGCCAGAACTGCTGCGGTGGTTGCACCAGGGTCAGTTGTGGGGCCTAGAAATGTTACTAGTGCCCAGAGTGCACCAACGAGCTACAGTGCCAGGAGCGGTGCTGTGAATAGGACATGTGCTTCGATCTCGATCTGGAGCCCAGTGACAATGAGGCTGACTCCGCCTCTGAGTCAGTTGAGTAGTCGGAGGTCAACCAGGGTGGTGATGTAGTTGTTGCAGTCAGTGACCTATGCCCAGGGGCATGTCGAGACATAGACTCCGGCTTCCTCCAGTGCCAGGGAGGAGGCAGAGGCATCAAATGCAATGGTGCCAGACCACTTGCCGCTGAGGGAAGGGTTTAAGACACCAGCGGTGGGGGAGCCGGTGCCTTATGGCTGTCCTGGATTGGTGCTGGAGTCAGTGCCGGTGGTAATGCTGCAGCAAGTGCTGGCAGCAGGGATGGTGCAGGGGCTGGTGGCGCCAGTGTTAAAGTCATTGGCACTGGCATGGTGCGGTGATGGGCCTTCACGTCCGGTGCTGGGGCCGATGGGGCTGTGGATGCAGCCGAGAGCTCCCAAACTTGATGCTCCTTGGAGGGCCCCCGTGAGGTCAGTGACAGGGTCAGTTTGATGAGGTCCCTTGTGGCCTGAAAGGCTACAGGGGTCGAGAGCTTTGGGAGGTCCTCCACTGGTCTCAAGTCCCAACGTGGGCTGGAATGGTGCTGACCCGATCTCAATGGTCCAGGTGCCGATCCTGCCAGTGCAATGTGCACCACCTGAGGAGCTCTGGCAGCACATGCCTCAATGGAGACCTGCTCTAGCTAGGTCTCTGTTTATTCTGTGGCACTGGAGACTGAGACCGGTGCAGAGACCCACACGATGCCGGAGAGGTGCGCGAGGGGCTTGGTACCTCCCACACCAAAGCCAGTGCACTGTGGGTAATTGGTGCAGGGTCCAATGCTGGTGCCGGGTGGAGCGCCACTTTCATGAGTACGATTTTCAGGTGGGACTCTTGTTCTCACTTGGTCCGCGGCTTGAAAGCCTTACCAATCTTTCAGGCTTTGTGGGGGTCTTCTCAGGGCATAGGCTTCTGGCACTTAACACAGGTCTTGAAGACTTGGGATCCAGGCATGCCCCAATTAAGTAGTAAATAGCTACTTATACTATTAACAACTGAGATAAGAACTAGCATTAACAAACAACAGAACTACAAATGGGTGAGAACTCCTAGGAGCACTTGCAAAGCAAGAACAGAGCACTCCAACCACGACATCATGAGAGGAAAGAAGGAAATGAGGGGCGGAGGGCCAGCAGGGGTATATATTAGCCAATATAGCAGCATCACTCCAGGGGGCTCCCCTGCTGGTCCAACAGGTGCTGCTAAGGAAAAAAAACTTTGGATGACAGGTGCATGCAGCGCGCGCTCACCTACATGGAATGGACATGAGCAATCACTTGAAGAAGAACAATGTTTGCAAATCTGTTTCTTGGGAAGGCTTATCTATTTTTCTATACCATCTAATACTATATAATAACTAAGCATGACTTCCATGCCCAATACTGTCATTTCCATCAATTACAAGCGCACACTGAAAGGACACACTATCCCATTGTGTCAGGACTTTATTTTTGTGACATCAATTTGAAAACCAGTTAATCTAAAAGGGAATTTTACATGCCTCAGCAACTCGATTGGTTTCAGTTTTTGGACTGGACCAGAACCAGAAAAGTGTACATCCTGGTCTCATTAATCTGAACTCAAACGTATTTTATGGATATGAGCAACATTTGGGAAATCTAATTTCTCTGTACATATGGTCCAACCATAATGAAAATTCATTCTTTTCATTTTCCTTTCATCCTCTGCATTCTAATTGTAACTCTATTGCAGCTTACATATGCAGCACCTTCCTTGTATTCCATCTGAGAAGCAATGCAGCAGTTACTACTGGAACTGAGAGCACCACTGCAAAGACCATGGCAGGAGGTAAGGGTTGCTTTTTTTTTCTGCAGACAATAACAAGTTTCAATCATTTACCTTCAAACAGCCTACAAGTGTGGTCTCAAACATGAAGACTGTTTTTCTTAATCAATACCATACACTGCATACGAAAGGATGACATTCATTACAAAATGTTGTTTGTAAAGTGGAAATATGTTAATGATGATTGTACTAACTTTTCCTTTACAGTCTCTTCCACTTCCTTGAACTTCTTTGTCAAAGCATTTAACTTTTCTAAAGCCAATGCCTTGTCCCCAGGAAGACCATGGACAGAAAGCTCCTCTAGAAGTTGATGCAAAACGTCGAGATCTTTTTTATGATCTACCAACGCTGAACTAGTTTCCTGCAGAAATGAATAGAAAGTGCCAGTTTTATATTGGCCTCTATGATCAGTTGTTCAAAATTCAATCCTTGATCTTAGCTGTTCTATTAAAGTTGGAGAACTAGCTTGTTATATTGGTCACTATCACGATGTGAGTAAGTGAAGGCAAAAATCTACACTATGAACAAATGGAGCTGTACAATACCTGCATATATTGAGACACTTCAGTAACATCCTTTCCTGGAACATCAGTCTCATTGAGAGCCTGAGTTTTCTTGTCCAAAAATGACTGAAGTTTTATTGACAAGCCTTCAAACAACTCCACTTTGGTCTTCAATTCCTCCATCTTTGCAAGTCTCCCCTTGTGTCTGGTACTTGCTTCAGCAAACCGTACAGAGAGCTCATTCATTTTAGCTTGTAGACAGGATGCTGTGGATGGATCTGTTGTTTCTATGAATTTGTTCACTTTTTCATTCATGGCATTTATACTGCTTTGGCGACTTGCAATATCTTGTTCCAGCATCTGAAACAATCAACAATTATTGTGGAGGGGTTATAAAGAAGTCTTAAGAAATGGCACTGATAACTCAGAGGTTCACCATAAAATCATAATAATATAAGAAGAACAATAAGAACAATAATCATTAAATAGTGACATAAACATTTAAAATCACAAAGCAGAGTAATACACAGGAATATCAAAGAAGAAATAGATGAAGTACTGAGAGGAGTGAAGATTTGGAAAGCACTCAGACCAGATGGGTGCATACATTCTGGCTTGAATAACTTAATAAATGTTTGAAGAGCAGATGTCCCAGATGGATGGTGACAGGGAGAACCATTCTCATACAAAAAAAGAAAGACAGAATCAGTGATCCTATGAACTGTAGATCCATTATGTGCTTACCAGCTATGTGGAAACTTCTACTGGCAATTCTGGGAAAGAAGATCTGAATAGCACTAACTTAATGGAATGCTGCCTCCTGAGCAAAACAACTGCATAGTAAACTTGAAAGGAACAAAACACTCACCTCAGGCTGAAAAGAGGAAACACAGAGGATTCAAAACAAACAAACAAACAAAAAGAAAACTTAGAAATGGTGTGGACAAGCTACTCAAAAACCACATAACAATAATGAATCACAAAGACACTAAAAATGCTTGATGTTCATCCAAAGATCATTTCCCTTCTGCAGCAATTTATGGTAAACTGGAATACTGGGACTCTACTGGGAGGAGACTCCCTTTGATGAGGTCCAAATGAAAAAAAGAATCTTTCAAGAGGATTCCTTATCACCAGTGCAGCTGAAATGGAAGCTTGAGAAGATAAATTGTGGTTACTATATCAGCAAATTTCAGCAAGCATGTAACCAGGCATATTAAATACATAATCTGAAATATGGACAGTCGTAAAAGGATATTGAGAGATGGCTCACGTGTCAAAAAGTTTGGTGAAGATATCAAGCTGAACACTGATTTGGCTAAATAAGTGTTAGCATTTGTAAAGAGGGGCAAACCAGTGCAATCAGGGGCTTACAAGTTCAAGAAGGCACCATCTAAAACATGGATCCTACGAGTACCTTGTAATCAGGGAGCTGTGAGATTTACAACATACAAAAGTCAACAAAGTGACTGTTAACACAGAAATCAATGCAAGGATAGTAGTGGAGAGAGACTGAACTCATTGCTTGTATAAGGGTACCCCTCAAAAGAGAGAAAGAAAACCTCATTATGAGTTCACAAGAGCAGCTTTTAAGGCTTAATTGCTTTCAAAATAAAACTGACTGACAAAACTGCTTTCCAAACTGTAGAATATGTTCTGAAAAAGAAGAGCTGGTGGAGCATGTGTTGAGCACCTGCATGAGTTGGGCTGGAAGAGAATATATGAAAAGACACAGCGAGGTCACCATGAATATGCAGTAGAGCCTCTGTGGCAAGTATAGAAATGAACTATGTGGCATTATGACCACTGAATGGAAAGTGCTCTAGAGAGTGAAGAGGCTAAGATTTTATTGGATCTGGTAATTGTCACAGACCAAAGAGGCTGGCCATAGCTGTTGTAGAAAAGAAGACAAATGAGACCATGTTAATTGAATCTGCCATAGTATCAGACAGAAATATACAAAAGAAACAAGAGAAGAAGATAGAGAAGTATGAAAAACTCTGCCAAAAAGCTCATTAATTATGAAAAAACTAAAATAAAGATGGACCCTGTGATTCCTGAAGTTCTTGGAGCAATCCCTAAAGATATGAATGAGCAGCTTAAGAACATATTAGAAGCACAAGGTAACATGATCAGTGACCTCCACAGAAGACAGCACTGTAAGAATTCTAAGGAAAATCAAAGTACGAGTGCATCTGAACACGGAGACAGAGGTAATTTGACAGTAGCTTTCTCCTGTTTCTGCTTCAAAGACTCGTATGTTATTAAGAATATTTGTTTTTTTAAATCTTCATGATGTAATACTGAGGGATAACAACAATACCCCCTAGTTCTTAAGAGGAAATAATTAAAGACAGATCCTGATGAAAATCGGGCTAACTACACTGATTTCAATGAAACAACCCAGATTTGCTTTAGCTGAGAATCTGGACATATTTATTTTCAAATATGAAGAACTACAGGTAATTCTACACACACTTTTGTTAAATCTTAGTTTGATTCCATTAAAAGGAGTTGATCTGAGACTAAAATTATTTCTTGAAATGGTTAAATATTATCTGAATTAGGAAGCAATTATTTCCTTCAAAGAATGCTACTTACAATATTTTTACTAATGATATCCTGAATAGCAGAAGAATTCAAAGGCACTTGACCCTCTTCTTTAAGGTTCTTTTCAACACCTCCCATCCAGTCAAGCATTTCATCCAAACCATCTTGTACACTTAGGGAACGAGTCAGCGTTATCTGGAGCTTCTCGTTTCTTTCATTCACAGACTTGGATAAACTGTCATATCTGCCAACAATGTCATCTAAAAGAAATAAATAGAATAGAAATCACTGAAAGTTTCCCCTTATTTCTCATAGAATCGCTAAGCAAAATCCTTTGGTTCTAACTCTGGTTTTGCTCAGCCCTGTGACTAGTTCTCTGAAAACATCCATTCCATATGCACAGTCATTAGAAAAAGCTACATTGAATGTTATGAAACATTAGGAAAGGGATAGAAATAAGACAGGAAATATCATAATACCACTATATAAATCCATGATATATCTTTATCTGAAATACGATGTGTAGTTCTGGTCACTCCATCTCAAAAAATATATCTTATATTGGAAAGGGTACAGAGAAGGGCAACAAAAATGATTAAGTGTATGGAACAGCTTCCATATAAGGAGAGATTAAAAAGACTGGGACTTTTTAGATTGGAAAAGAGACAACTAAGGATGCATGTACACAGCACCATAACCTCGAATTAAGATACACAATTTGTGCTATGCAAATTGCGTATCTTATTTTGAATCTATTTCAAAATAATGCACTATTCGAGCCATCCTTTATCCGTGGTGCAATGAGGTTTATTGGGATGGTGAAACAGCACACCCGTTATTTCAAAAAATATTTCAAAATAATGGACAGCTTGTGTAGAGTAATTTCTGTATATGGAGTTGCTATTTCAGGATGCCGCCGGTATTCCAAAATAGCCGTGCAGTGTAGATGTACCCTAAGAGGGGATATGACAGATGTATATAAAATTGTGAATGGTGTGGAGAAAGTGAATAAGGAAGTGTTATTTACTCTTTCATAAATCACAAGAAATGGGGATCATCCAATGAAATTAATATGCAGCAGCTATAAAATAAACAAAAGAAAATGCTTCTTCACACAACACACACCCTGGAGAACTGGTTGCTAGGGAATGTTGTAAAGGCCAAAACTAAAAAGGAGTTCAAAAAAGAAGTTCATGGAGGATAGGTGCATTCGTGGCTTTTTGCCAAGATGGTCAAGAATGCAATCTATACTCCTAGCTCCTACCCTTTAGCTGCCAGAAGCTGGTAGTGGACAAGAGGGGATGGATCACTCAATTGCCCTATTCTATTCATTCATGGGAACTGTCAGAAGATGGGATAGTGGGCTAAACGGACCATTGGTCTGATCCAGTATAGCTGTTCTTACATTCTTATGATGCAAACTTCAACCCAAACTTGCTTAGATAGGGACCTCAGGATTTGCACCTTAACAATCCACAATTAAAAGGATGGAACTACAGCTATGGCCAAGAAGCATATAGGAAAAGTCAGTGGCAGGCAAAAGGTGACCTGTACCTTGCTTTAGCACTTTCCATTCCTGGAGCAACAGTTTGTAGGGCTGGTCCCTGGGCTATTTTAGCTTATGCCAGCTGCTAACAGTCCCAAAGGACTGAAACATCAGGTAGGGATTAGTGAAGCATAGGGCATTCCTTCCACACACTTTTCCCTCCAGCTATGCCCCCTATAATGTCATCAGATTGGAACTGTGGCATAGGAACTTACATAACACAAGTAGATGATCTACTTTGCATTGAGGTGAGCCTCCCAAAGTCAGATACACTGTTGGCCAGAACGCACTGGCTGTGTGACCTAAAGTGGCCACATCATCTGGAGGATTCTAATTTCTAACGCATTAGCTCATCTAATGGCAAGTCATGCCTGACCAACCTGATTAGCTTCTATGATGAGGTAACTGGCTCTGTGGACATGGGGAAGTCAGTGGATGTGATACACCTTGACTTTAGCAAAGCTTTTGATATGGTCTCCTACAATATTTTTTCCAGCAAGTTAAGGAAGTATGGATTGGATAAATGGAATCGTAAGATGACTGGAAAGCTGGCTAGATTATCAGGCCCAACGGGTAGTGATCAATGGCTTGCTGTCTGGCTGGTGGTCGGTTTCAAGGGGAGTGCCCTAAGGACTGGTTCTAGGGCTGGTTTTGTTCAATGTCTTTATTAATGACCTCAATGAGAGGATGGATTGCACTCTCATCAAGTTTGCAGAGGACACTAAGTTACGGGGAGAGATAGATAGGTTGGAGGGTAGGGATAGGGTCCAAAGTGACCTAGACAAATTGGAAGATTGGGCCACAAGAAATCTGATGAGGTTCAACAAGGAAAAGTGCAGAGTCTTACACTTGGGATGGAAGAATCCCAAGTACTATTACAGGCTGGAGACTGGCTAAGTAGCAGTTCAGCAGAAAAGGAGCTGGGGATTACAGTGGATGAGAAGCTGGATATGAGTCAACAGTGTGCCCTTGTAGCCAAGAAGGCGAATGGCATATTAGGGTGCATTAGGAAGAGTATTTCCAGCATATCTAGAGAAGTCATTATTCCCCTTTATTTGGCATTGGTGAGGCCATATCTGGAGCACTGTGTCCAGTTTTGGGCCCCCCACTACAGAAAGGATGTGGATGCACTGGAGAGGGTCCGGTGGAGGGAAACCAAAATGATGAGGGGGCTGGAGCACATGACCCACGAGGAGAGGCTGAGGGATTTGGGGTTGTTTAATCTGCAGAAGAAAAGAGCGAGGGGGGATTTGATAGCAGCCTTCAACTTCCTGAAGAGAGGTTCCACAGAGGATGGACAGAGGCTGCTCTCAGTAGTGACGAATGGCAGAACAAGGAGCAATGGTCTCAAGCTATAATCGGGGAGGTCTAGGTTAGATACTAGGAAAAACTATTTCCCTAGGAGGGTAGTGAAGTACTGGAATGGGTTACCTAGGGAGGTGATGGAATCTCCATCCCTAGAGGTTTTTAAGTCTCATATTGATAGAACCCTGGCTGGGATGATTTAGTTGGGACTGGTCCTGCTTTGGGCAGGGGGCTGGACTCAATGACCTCCTGAAGTATCTTCTAGCTCTAGGATTCTATGATCTAATCCATCCCCCTTCCTTTGCAATGGCTCTTTAAAGAACGTTTACCTGTGCCTTGACTCATCTAGCTTTAATGTCTCAAGTAAGGATGATTCCAACCAACTATTACTTAGATTATTCCATCTCATTAGCTGAAAGTTTTTCCCAATAATGATATTTTCTCTTTTATTTTACTCCACTATTCTTAGTCATAATTCTCACTAATTTATCTCCTTTCTTAGTGTTCGCCTGACAAACATGTTAGTTAGTTGACATGTCATGACATGACCTTTTGTAAGGTCAATTAGTCAACTTTTTAAATTAAAATGTGTTTTACAGTGCTCTCGAATTTTTACTCTTCAATGTGGGAAATTATCAGCAAAAACTGCAAGCAGATCACAACACAGTAAATATTAATACAAGGTTTATTTTTACTATGAAATTTTGAATACTCAATATTTACAAACTGGGTACGTAACTATGAGGGTGCGTACAATTTAGATGTACTCAGTTCTACTGGATCGTCCTTACAGGCCTCTCCAGCAGCTGCCCTGGAAGCCAGCATTTGTTGTGAGGGTGTTAAGAGGGCGATCAGGATCTGAATCTGAGCCAGGACTTACTGAATGCTGGGAGCAGAATTCCTGAAACTTGGAGATCACAAGTAGTCCTTCCTCTCTGATTAGCTTGGGACTGAGGTATATCAAAGCAACTGGGCCACAGGTAGAACTCAATTAGGGCAGGTGGCTCATTGCCTTGCAGAGCCAACTTAGGTAAATTATAAAAGAGTTTTAGATGAGTAATAGGTGAAACTGTCAGAAGAGGCTCCTGATTCCTAGAGCACACACAGTGAATTCTGTAAAACAAGGTTTCTGTTTCTACTGTTTGAGTCTCACTCTGGCTTTTGTTCTCCATATGAAAGGAAATAAGTCCAGATCTGTCCTACTATCTAAGTCATAAAGACAAGTAAATACCCTCAGAAAGCCCAGAGATGTTTTTCTTTTTTAGCCTATACTGCTTCAGAACTGTCCATTTTACATTGATACCAGGCCTTCCAAAAGGTGTGTACATATCAAACATCTATCTTTCATATGGTAAACAAAAGGAAGACAAATAGAGAAAAATACAGACTTGAAATTCACTTTAAAAATATCAGCGGTACACCATGTAAATGCTGGAGAAAACACCAGCTGAATATATGCAAGAGACTAACAAAATTTGTAGATGGTATTTTGAGCTGATATCCTCAGATGAAGTGAGTTGTGCCCATGAAAGCTCAGGATACCACCTACAAATTTTGTTAGTCTGTAAGGTGCTTCAAAACTATTCATTATTTTTTAAGTTTTATAACCAAGACAGATGATTTAATAGAGGATTTAAGAAAGGCGTTTGTAATTTGTACAATGTTAAACAGATGTGGTCTGCTGAATTCAAGGTTGAAACCAGGGGAATAAAGGATTAGTCCATCTTTCCCTTGTATCTTTAGCTTTGGATACATATTTTAATAATGTTCTCTACTATGGCAGTAATAATTTCTAAGAACTCTCTCAAGTCAGTTCAGTCATCATTTCCCATATCTCTTTTTCCCTTCTTACTGAAACCATATGTCTGTCCTTGATCAAAAACTGAGTTTAAGCAGCCATTATCCATGTGCTCCAATATAATAGTTTCTCTATGCCGATCTTTACTCTGCTGTATATTCTTCTGTATAATTAAATGTTAATCGAGTTTTAACCAGAGTTGAAACATAACCAAAATATATTTATTATATACCTTCTTGATCTTGCAAATATTTATGCATGTACTCAGTTTGTGACTGATCATAAAGATAAGGACAAAAGTATTTCAGGATCAGAGCTTACAACTGCAAAAAATGGGATAAATTGGGAAAAGAATATCATTCTAATTTTATTTTTTTTATTGTTTAAGTATCGGTGTTATTGAAGCTAAACGATAACAGATATTTTAAATTAAACAAAGCTATGTTATACTTAAACAAATGTGCATTACAGTGTTGCCACTGATTTCAGCGGTTGTGGAATCAGGCTTCTCTATGATTTATTTGTCTACTCTGCAATTTATGAAATCACTGAAAGTTATTCGGGAGACACACACAGGTCTTGAAGTTCCACGCTGGGGTAAACGGCATGTTCCAATGTAACTAGCAATGACAGTACAGAGAAACAAAAATATTTAAGAAGGGGCGGGGGGGAGGGGGATGTTTTCACTGGCGAGGTAGTTTTTAATAACCAGAATCAAGACACAGATCACTGGAGTTCTTAACTACCCCTCTGGTGCAGACTTCCTGCATGACACTAGAGCAGTCACTCTTTGTCTCAGTTCCCTGTTTACAAATGAGCCAATAATAACTCCTTTCTCCTCTCTGTCTGGCCTGTCAGTTTTGATTGTAAGTTCTTTATCTGAACACTACTATGGCAATATTATTTTATGATTTTTTTCTTGTTTTTTAAGTGGTACAATAAAATCACTGAATAGCGGCAACATCTCATCCCAGTAAGACATAAAAATGAAAAAATGACAAGAGAATGTAGAATTGGGTGGGCAAAAGAGCTTCTGCAGGCCAAATTTGGCCCACCAAGCCAGTGGATCTGACCCGTAGCCACCCTACCACCCCCCACCCCCAGGTTCTCTTTAGCTGCTGCATACCCATGCCTGGGGGCAGAGAGCACGCACAATATCTCCTCACCCGTTAGCACCTAGAGGGAACTGCCAGTTGTTTTAAAACAGGTGGTGCTTCTCTCTAGGCATTCGGGGCAAGAGGGGGCACAAATCATTCACATGCTTCCTCTCCCCCCTCACCCCTCCTGGCCAATCAGGGTCTGTGGGCGGGGGGAGCACGAGAAGTTTCCTGGTCCCACCTCTTGCACCTGAGGCCCCACCCCTTCTGGGAGGGCCCGGAGCCAATTCAGAAATTTGTGAAGTGGCCCCCTTTCAAAATTATTGCCCACCTCTGGTGTACAATGTACATTCCTTATCCCCTCTAGCATGTGCCCACAGACTTAAGCAAAAAAGATAGGATTGGAAAAAATAAAACTCTTACCTAGTGTTTTCTGGATTTCATCTTTGTCTGGCAGTAAAGTTCCCCTGGTATCCAAAAGCACTTCAGCAGCTTTTTTCAGTTTCTCTATAGCAACCTGGTGATTAGACACCTGTCCCTGAAGAGCCTGTAAAATTACATTTCTTAAAATTTCAATACTGTTCACTTAAGCTAAAAGTCAGTTACACAGCATGCAAAGAGAAATCTGCACTGAGGTATACTTGGTGGACATAGTTGAATTTTTAATTAGCATACAGATACCTGAATGTACCTGACATGAGCAAGCAAAAACCAGAACAGAATAGTGGTAAGGGGAATTTCAAAAGCCTGGATGACTTACAAGTCAGTTCTTAAAGGACTGTTTCATGAACAGATCTTTATTTTCAGAAACAGGAATAGGTGCAACCTGGAGTTAACATGATGGCTTTTAGGGTTATCTTAAGCACATATTCCTGCCTTTTTTGGAGGGGAGGGGAAGAGTTTTATCCCCCATGTCCAGAAAACTAGGGGCCTGTGCAATTCCTTTATAAATTTACTTCACATATCTGACCATGTAGCTTATTCTATTTCCAGGGCATTTCTAATCACTAGGGCTGTGTCCAGACTCAGGGGGTTTTTCGGGAAAAGTAGCCTTTTTCGGAAAAAACTTCATCTGCGTCTAGACTGCAGCCGCGTTCTTTCGAAATTAAATCGAAAGAACGTGGCTTTTCTTTCGACGGCGGTAAACCTCATTTCACGAGGAAGAACGCCTTCTTTCGAAAGTGCTTCTTTCGAAAGAAGGCGTTCTTGAATGTAAATAGGGCTTCTTCGAAAGAGAGCATCCAGACTCACTGGGTGCTTTCTTTCGAAAAAGCGGCTTGCTCTTTCGAAAGTTCCGCGTGCAGTCTAGAGCAATACATCTCAAAGAACAACTGTTATGAAAGGTAAGTCATCATTTCTTTTCCCCGCAGGAAGGGATCACAGATTTGGTTAATTTTATCCCGGAAGTAATTTTCTATTTCTCACGATTCATAGTTATAGCAGGAATTATGTCAACTGCAATAGTAAAGGTATACACTGATTTGCATTCCAGGTCTCTGTTTTTAGTTGCTATTACTCCATGAACACCACAATAGAAGCAGAATTTTTTCCTTTACTGGTTTCTTCTTGAAGGTACTTTTGGAAACTTTGAGCAAAAATGGTTTTACTATTTTAACTATTGTGGAAATAAAAAAAATAAAAAATATGTTTCACATTATACAAAAATTATTCCTACCCTTTTTCAAAAACAACTGCTGCATTGACGACTGGTTGAAAACTTCAGAAAGTGGGAAACGAAATAGGAACACTGCAAAAGTGCTAGGCTACATCTAGACTGGCCCCTATTACGAAATAGCCATGCTAATTTCCAACTTTGGAATAGGGAAATCCACAGGGGATTTAAATATCCCCCGTGGGATTTAAATAAACATGGCCGCCGTTTTTTTCCGGCTTGGGGAGGATCTCCTACTTGAAAGTAGGAATAAGAGATCCCCCGGAAAAGGGCTTTATTCCGGAGGATCGCGCCAGTCTAGACGCTTTTTTCCGGCTTTTCCCCAAGCCGGAAAAAAAGCGGCAGACATGTTTATTTAAATCCCCCGTGGATTTCCCTATTCCAAAGTTGGAAATTAGCATGGCTATTTCGTAATAGGGGCCAGTCTAGATGTAGCCTAGCACTTTTGCAGTGTTCCTATTTCGTTTCCCACTTTCTGAAGTTTTCAACCAGTCGTCAATGCAGCAGTTGTTTTTGAAAAAGGGTAGGAATAATTTTTGTATAATGTGAAACATATTTTTTATTTTTTTTATTTCCACAATAGTTAAAATAGTAAAACCATTTTTGCTCAAAGTTTCCAAAAGTACCTTCAAGAAGAAACCAGTAAAGGAAAAAATTCTGCTTCTATTGTGGTGTTCATGGAGTAATAGCAACTAAAAACAGAGACCTGGAATGCAAATCAGTGTATACCTTTACTATTGCAGTTGACATAATTCCTGCTATAACTATGAATCGTGAGAAATAGAAAATTACTTCCGGGATAAAATTAACCAAATCTGTGATCCCTTCCTGCGGGGAAAAGAAATGATGACTTACCTTTCATAACAGTTGTTCTTTGAGATGTATTGCTTATGTTCATTCCATTGTGGGTGTGCATAGTCATCAGAGACTTTTGCATTAGTGGTATTGGTAAGGATGGCCATAGCACCATCTGGTGTGTGGCAGTCATGGCACGGTATATCAGATCCCACCATCTCTACTTCCTCTCCATTCATTTTTGCTGACAACTTTGACATAGGAGTAGCAGGGTGGGAAATGAAATGGATACGAGCAACACATCTTAAAGAACAACAGTTACACAAAGGTAGATAACCATTTTTTCTTCTTTTAGTGCTTGCTTGTGTCGATTCCACTGTAGGTAACTCACAAGCAGAATCCTCAGAGATGGGTTTGCAGTTCAGAACTTTGCCTATCAGAGCACTTCTATGCTGTAGCCAGTGTCATCTCAAGCTTCCTGGGTTAGTTCATAAAGTGAAGTGGACCTGTGGATGGACAACGAGGGTAGCCTGACAAATGTCTCGTTTCAGGAGTAAGGAAGACTGCCAAAGAAGCCTGTGCCCTAGCTGGGACTGCTGGCAGGTGCATCTTTGCCAGTTCATAGTGGTAGTGGACATAGGCCATGATCCAGGAAAAGAGTCTCTGGGCTGACACCATGCAACCTTTCATTCCATCAACGACAGCCATCAACTTCATTGACTTATGGGACAACTTTGGCCTATCAACATAGAAGGCCAGTGCCTGCCTGACATTCAGTGTATGCTGCCTGCACTCCTCATCTGCTGCATGAGGATTCAGACAGAGGACTGGTAAGTAGATGTCTTGGACCATGAGGACCTGGGAAACGACCATAGGAAGACCATATAAGGGGGCTCAGACATGAGCATCCTGATCTCCAACACCTGGCGGGCCAAAGTCACAGTGACCAAGAAGACAACCTTCCAGGAAAGAAGCAGGCAGGAGCAGGACACAAAGGATTCAGGGGGGGACTCATGAGCCTTGGCAGCATATTATACAAGTCCCAAGGGGGAACTGGGTTCCTGACATATGGTAAAGGTGCTCCAGGCCTTTCAGGACCTGCGCTGTCATAGGATGTGTG